AAGCTAGACAAGGGCAATAAAACATCCACGGATGCAGAAGATTTCTCTCAGAACAGGGGGGATGAGGTTCTAAGCCTCACCTCTGTTGATCCCCAATTTCTCACCTGATGGCCCCCCTGCGACTGTGCCTGTTTTAGGTTGTTCCTCCCTTGAGGAATCTTACCCGTCTCTGAAAAAGTTTCACTTTTTTAAAGATATTTTTCCATGTTTTCCTAAGATTACGTAATAACTTAACATTCACTGGCTGGAGCATAAGAATTAAGCTTTAAAGAAATCTGGCCACAAGCAAGACATACTGATGAAGAAAAATATGACCCATTCATATGGCCATTTACATTGCATATCATGGGCACTAGATAGCCTTGCGAGTGCCTTAGAAGCTGATCAGTTGAATTTTTTTGCTTCGTGTAAGAGATGCCCATAAACACAACAATAACCTATTTGCAACTTTACAATAAGAGTGTAGTTTTTAAGAGGATAGAGGAACTGTTGATATTTGAGAAAGAAGTCATCATTCAAGCTTGTCTGAGGGCTAGGTTGTGAGGCTGTTTATCCAGTAAGAAATTGTTGTCCACAACAAAAGATGCTCTTCTGCTTCCGCTTTCTTGACTGTCTACTTCCTAAAGGAGGGGGATGAACCTCAATACTTCTGATCATCGTTTTAAGATCTGATGGTAACTTACTGTAATTTACCTAAAACTTATCTTTAAATCCATTTCATAACTTCTCTAAATGGTAGAAAATTACTGTTTCGTAATTAACATATTTTTAGTCCAGAACAATAAGAAAATCTGAGTGTGCCTCTTTCAAAACCTGCTAGGTTGTGGTAGTTACCTAAAATAACCCAAATTCATCCTTAAAATAGATATTTTTACAGATTTCATAAGTAAAATCAGAATGGTATTTAAAATGTTATTAAATAGACATATTTAGTAAATACAGTTGTTTTTTATTCTGAGAACAATTCAACATCCATAAATCCCCAGAGCCCTGCTTGCCTTAGTTCAATATTTTATTGCTCTGCCTGGCTTCTTAACCCCTTTTCACACTGAAATTTTTCAGTGCCAAGCACCACACAGTCTAAACTGTTGCCGATGAGCTCTGACAGTATTATAAAGACCAGGCATGACATGTTCTGTTTGTTGTGCCTCCCTGTGGGCAACTGTGCTGTCAGCAGAACATGCCTGTGAAGGTGCGCTGAATTGTTTTTTGTCTCTCCAATGTCTTATTTTGAAAAGTGTTAATTTTCATCTAATTGTGCCAGTTGTTACCATTTTGCCATATTTGTTTTCCTTCTTTGCTTTCTCCCTCCCTGCTTCCCTCTCTCTTCTTCTTTTCCCACCTCCTCTCTCTGTCTCAGTGGTTTTTTGGAATCATTTGAAAGTAAGTTGCAGGCAATGACCCTTTGCCCTTAAATATTTTAGCGGTATCTCCCAAGGATAAGAATGTTCTATATAAAACCATAATGCCATTATCACACTTATGAATATTAACATTAATATCCCTTTTAATACATCCTAATACATTTTGAAGTTGCTTCAAAATAATGTAACACACCTCTAGCCCCCACCTCTACCCTAGTTGGGATCAAGGATCTAGTGAAAGTTTATGCATTGCACTTCATTTTTATCTCTCTTTTAATCTAGAACATTCCCTCTGCCTCTTATTTTCTGTGCCATTGACTTTTTTGATGAGTTCAGGCCAGAATGTCCCACATGCAAAGTTAATTCTTAATATTTTTAAGTAGTCCTAAAAAGTAGACTTAAGTTTTCTAATGAGTTGATGAACTCTGTGTGTGTTTATGTGTGTGTTTCCTAGAGTATGGTCTCCGACTCGGGAGTCAAATCTTCATAAAGGAAATGACCAGAACCGGTCTGGCAACTAAAGATGGCAACTTGCACGAAGGAGACATAATTCTCAAGGTGGGTGGACAAGGATGAAGAATAGTTCATTCGTGTTTGATTTCATAGTCCCAATTTACACACTCAAGGGCCAACACAGGGAAACTTTGTTGTGATAGGAGTCAATAGTATGACAAAGCCAGGAAGCAGGGGCAGCAGAGTGAGATAATTTTTATCAGAAAAACCAGACTTAGAGATTTGTAATAGTATAATAGTTAAAGAGAAAAAAACAGCTTGGTGAGTATTTTCTTCTTGCCTATTTATTTAAAGTTTGAACTCCTATTTCCTAAACTAAGGAAAGATGAGAGGGAGAGTTGGTGGTATATGAATGCTGAATATTTAATAGTTTTTGTAAACCTCTCCAGTCAGGAAACACATTCCAGTAGTAAACCAAACCATTACTTGAGCTTGGAAGTTAAATATATTAGCAGAAAAACTTAAATACACTATAGCTCTATCATGCCTGTAGTTGGGATTCAGGTATGCAGGGTTATATTTAATTTAAAGGACAATTCATTTTTATTCGGTTAGTCATCTTACAGCTCATTTCTGTTTGAATAGCTGAACAAAGCCTTTACATTTCTAGAAGGGGATAACACCAGTTTTCTTTTTCATTGTGAGTAGTTGCCTTGTATGTAATATTACTGTTCTTCTTAAACACAGATAAATGGAACTGTAACTGAGAACATGTCTTTAATGGATGCTCGAAAACTAATAGAGAAGTCAAGAGGAAAACTCCAGCTAGTGGTGTTGAGAGACAGCAGGCAGACACTCATCAACATCCCATCATTAAATGACAGCGACTCAGAAGTAGAAGGTAAAGAAAGAGGAGGCTGGGAGTTTAGCCGGGAGCCAGGAGGGCCACTGCTTCTGCATTCTCATCTCTGTGTAGCATAGCCATCCGGCTGGCAGATACATTTCCAACTAAAACTTCTCTTTTAAACTTTAATTCTGAAAGATAAGTGTTTGGTTGTTATTTTCTTATTGAAGTGTCTGTTGAAAGTAGACTTCTGATAGAAATTCTGGTATACTTGTGGACTCCCAGTGGCTGTTTTAGGCCCCTGAAAACAAAATTTGTTATTAAAAAAATGTGTACAAGCATTTGCAAGAACTAATCTCAAACACTTGCAAATTGCTCATTCTTTCACTTTCTCATGTGGTTTTTTTGAAAGTAGTCATTAATATTTCCAACAAAGAGAGGACAATGTAGAAGATAGCTAAACCAGGTAGACACTATAATAAAGAATCAGAATGGCTAAATACTGTGATATACATTGAGTAGCAATCCATGTCACCTCTTCTCTCTCATGGGACTGTTTTCATTCTTTGAATATAAATGATACATAGGATAATATTTTAACCATATAAAAATTACCAATAAAAATAAAGTAGGCATGATATTTACTAATTAACCATCTTGTATTGCCTTTGTGCAGAAAAGTTCACAAATATTTAAATTCTCATGTTTGAAAACAGGTTTCTTAATTTTTAAAAGAACTACTTTACAAAACCTTAAATGTTAATTTTAATCTCCATTATATCAAAACTATAATCAGTTGCTGGCTGCTGGGAGTAAATGCAGGAAAATAAGTAGAGCATGAGAGAAATAATCCCACCATCCTAAAGGAATTACAGATTAGTTCTTTCCCATTCCAAGTGTGGTGCTCAGCCCACCAGCAGCAACAGCATCATCTAGGAGCTTGATAGAATCGCAGGCCCCACCACAGAGCAATTGCATTCTGACAAGAAGATCCCAGGTGATTTGTATGTACAGTAGAGTTTGGGAAGCTCCGGTCAGTGTGCTAAAATGAATATATACACATATGATCCAGTAATTGAATTTTAACTTTCAGTAGCAGCTTTGATGGAAAATGTAAGGGAAGAGAAACATGAAATTCTTCATTTGGCTTCCTCTTTACTCATTGATGCCTTTCCCTTTGAACTAGCAGATTTATTTTCAAGGAATGACTATTAGCCTAATAGCACATTTACTGTCTGCTTCTCTCCCGTTGCCTATGTCTCTGTACTTTGAAAAGTATAATTTCTGCATAGGTCTTAAATATTGAATTAAGTCTTTTCTTATTTTTGAAACCAGATATCTCAGAAATAGAATCAAACCGATCATTTTCTCCAGAGGAGAGACGGCAGCAATATTCTGATTATGATTATCATTCCTCAAATGAGAAGCTGAAGGAAAGGCCAAAGTAAGATGATGTGTATTTTCCTTGCACATGCCACTGTGAGCATACACACATGTATTTGCGAATCTGTTACATTATGAGACATTGATATGACATGTGCTTAAGTTCAAGAGAGGACTCGTCGAGCAGATGGTCTAGGATGGGCGCCATACCCACTCCCTTTAAGCCCACTGGGGATATCACAGCGGCAGTTGGCTCAGAGACCAGCAAGGAACCTGGGTATCAAGAGAAATCCCCAGGTGAGGCTCCTTTTAAACATTTGTGTTCCAAAGTGTATGCTTCATAATTCTGTAGGATGGCTGGAAGGAGAGAGAAATTACTTAAAAATTATTCTCCTATAAGGAAGGAGCGCCCTTGGTCTCCCTTCTAATATTGGGAAAGCATATAAAGAATAAAGCCCTTTCTGTGTGCTGACAGCTTGGTCATGGGTTGTTATATTTGATTGGTTGTGATGGTTTTGTCACCCATCCGTGATCCCAGCCTATACTCTTTCTGCCCACAACACTTCTGACATCAAATGTGTGGGTTTTTTTCCTCCACCCAACTACCAATCCCTAGGTTCTCCAGATACCAGCTGGTTGTCCTACAGCTCAGTTCAATTCTGACACTGACTACTTGGAGTTAACGCAGACCCCACAGATTCAGTCCCAGAAGATGCCTCCACTTCAGAGTTGCCAGGTTGCCACCTTAACTTTTGACCAGCTGGCTCTGTTTAAACCTGTGGTTCCCCAATCAATACCCTCCCACAATCCCCAGTTTGATAATTCACTAGAATGGCTCCCAGAACTCAGAAACGCACTTTACTTACTATTACTGTTCATTTTATAAATGATACAGCTTAGAAACAGCCAAGTGGAAGAGATGCAGAGGACAGGGTATGGGTGAAGGGGTGCAGAGGTTCCATGCCCTCTTTGGGCCAGGCACCCTCCCAGCATCTTGGTATGTTCACCAGCCCTGAAGCACCCTGAGCTCTTTAGTTTATGGATTTTTATGGAGGTTTTGTCACGTGCCTGATTGATTACAGTCTCCAACCCCACACCTCCTGAATGATAGGGAGGTGGGATGAGAGGTCCAGGCTTCTCATCAGAGCTTTCTCTTTCTGGTGAGCAGCCCCATCCTGAGGCTACTCAGGGGTCATCTCTCTAGAATAGAAGATGTTCCAGTCACCCAGGAAATTACAAGGGATGTAGGAGTTCTATGTCAGGGACTGGGTTAATGAGCAAATATAGCAAGAGCTGCTCCTGGCACCCCCATCACTAGGAAAGTGCAGGGATTTTAGGAACTGGGGGCAGAGACAAAATAGATATTCCTAATTATGTCATGGCCAGATTTTGTCATATTTGGTTAGTTGAGGTCCCTTTGTCTGTCATCTCTGATCTCGACCCCACCTCTGCCATCCTAAAACTGTCATGATTTTACGTGCATAAACATTTTTCCAAGGGAAAAACAGCACTATTATGTGGTTTTTAAGTTTTAAAAAGTGCTTTCTTCTTATACATGTGATTATGCACCTTGCATATTGGAGATTTGTTTCTCTTCTCACTTATTTTGAAAATCAGCATTGAGACCTGATAATGCCTCAGAATTAAACTTCACCACAAACACTGTTCTGCTGTTTCATGTGGTGACATAGATGTTGTATAAGGTACAGCCTTGAAGTTTTTGCGAATTCTGTGATCTCTGTAGAGACAAACAAACTCATATTAGTCCAGGTTGACAAACGTAGATGTTTTTAAATCCACAGCTCCTCAACCAAGGGCAGCTCCAAGAACTTTTCTTCGTCCTAGTCCTGAAGATGAAGCCATCTATGGGTGTGTATTTCAGTCTCTCTTTTTTCCCTTTCATCTTCCACACAGCTCTATCTCCTAAAAAAAATACAGAAGAGTGGTATTTTTTAACTGCACTTGGTGATTTTGCCTGTAATCAGCTGCCTTTAACCAACCTCTATTGCTAGTGGTTTTGAGAAGGATAAATCATTTGTAAGAAATGTAAAATGTGATAGTGGGTGAATTTTGTGATGTTAACTTGTCTGCTTGTCTATTTATCTGGCTACTTCCCCAGAATGTGATTTTGAAAATTTGTGTTTGCCAGATCAGTAACCCCCAGATAGGGGAAGGGCTGTTTAACAACAGTGCCTCTGTTGGGGCTCTGATGACATGATCCCAGCACATGGAGGGAGGGGAGAAGTGATGAAGTGCCCTGCATATGATATACGAACCCCTGGCTCAGTGGTTGGTGGTCAAGAGCAGCAGGTCCTGGATTAGGATCTGGCTTCACTGGACGCAGGCTATGTGTCCATTTGACATAGTGGTGTCTCCATCTGCCTGTGGTTGGCAGCCAGCCTTTCTTTGGAATAATCTTGAACTGTGAGTCACATAGGATCGATTGTAGCTCTAACTCTGCCCTTTATTTGCTGTCTAATCTTGAATGAGTTTGTATAAACATTCTCTGTTTCTCTTCACTGGTAGTGTGGGCCTACTGATTCATCTCACAAGGGAGATAAAATTATACAATGATGAGAAAAATACAGACTTTTTAAGTATAAATCACTTATAGATAGAAGAAATAGATCTCTCACTGCTAATGTTGGTTCCTCTTTACAAAGAAAAAGCTCCCATCTTTTTTCCTGAAACCAAACCTATTACAGCCCCAATACCAAAATGGTGAGATTCACAAAGGGAGACAGCGTGGGCCTCCGGCTGGCCGGCGGCAATGACGTTGGGATATTTGTGGCTGGCATTCAAGAGGGTACCTCAGCGGAGCAAGAAGGCCTTCAAGAAGGGGACCAGATTCTGAAGGTGGGCAAGTCCAGCCTTGTTTCCAGACATTACCGGGAAAGCGTGGGGTGTTCTGGGGGCGTCATATAAGGGAGGGGGAAGTGGCCAATCTTCTGAAAATAAACCAGGTGCAGGTTTGTTGATACTGAGCATGAGGTCCCTGTTTCCCTCAAATGGTTCCTGTCTCCTCAGTCCTGGAACCCAACACTCACCCACGGATCTGTAGGAATTTATAGTGTTCAAGGCCTTTGCAAAGATTTTTATTGGTTTGCTTAACAAAAAAACAGTGGTTGTCGCTGTTAAGGCCACTGTGCTGTAATTGACTGAAAAGGGTGTCAGCATCAGATTATCCAACTTGAATCCTGTTCCAACCTTTCATTAGTTCAGAGACTTGATTTTCTGTATCTGTTCAATGGGAAGAATTCCTGGCTTTCAGAGACCCTGGGAAGATTGGAACAGATGACCCTTACAAGGTACCGAGCAGAGCTCCGGCTCAGAGCAGGAATGATCATATTTTTCTCCAGTGGAAGATAAGTCACTGCCACTCAGTATGTTACATCTAAAATTGTCCAGGGAAGGGAATTCCTGGTTCAAATATTGATACTTCTAAAGTTAATCTGTGTCTGTATATTTACATATAGATATGTTTGCATAATCTATTGGTTTTAAAAAACAATAATCAACTTGGCTTTGACATTTTATGAGTTACATACAATGTATTTTCCATGGATTTCAGACTAAACTTCAATAATGTCAATTATCTTGTGACGATAAAAATAGAGAATGCTAGGGAACTGTCTGCACTGGAATTTCTGCTTATGTAAATGTGCTTTTCTTATGTATGAGTTACTAGGAGGTCTGGGAACAGTCTCTGGGCTCAAAGGAGAGGGGAGAATAAAGTTGCAGAATTCCTGAGGAAGCAGCAGCAGAGCACCAGGACAGGCAGCCCCTTTCTTCTTGGCTCTTGGCCCTGCTGCGATAGTTCACATTTCATTGATGGAGCAGATGAAGGGCAAACCTTGATCATGAGCTTCGCTAAAGCTTTCTAGTGACATTTTAGACCCTCTTGGGCTCTGGTCAGGATCCTGGAAGACTAAGTGTACCTGAGTCAACCTCGTGGTGACACATGATCTCAGGAAATACCACTTACCAAGTGCTACTGATAAGAATCCCATCTGAAGGCCAGCTCATACCAATTTACTCTTGGGCTTACGCCAAAGGAGAAAAAACATTTCTTAATGTGTGGGGCTCTGGGAAGTCAGGAATTTGGAAGCCTTTGTTCTTGAGGTTCAAGGATAAAATTCTTTTGTACACTGGGGGAAAAAAGATTTTCTAAATTTCCATGAAAAAAATAGTGAATTCTTCTAGGGGCTTCACAGACCTCTCTTTAAGTCACTAAAGGTGGGGGAGTTGCTTCCCCAGGTGAAAGTCTTGGGTACGCAGTGTTTATACTTAAGAAAGTGTCTTGTTTCCTGTTGTTAACTGGGCAACAAGGAAGAAACTGTGGGAACCGGCTTCTTTTGCAGTCATCCCATCTGGAGGTCAGGCAGTAGATGGTCCTCCTTCGTGGACATGAATACATTTTCTGTTGACTGCAAAGGAGCCCTCAGCTCTACAAAGGGGTGAAGAAGATTGAGCTCACCTGTTGGGGCAGAGAAGCTGCTCCACAGTTGTAGGCTGTGGCTGGTACAGACTCCTCTTCAGGCTCACAGCAGCGTCTGCTAGACCATATAGACTACTAAATAGAGAATGAAAGGGTATTTCCTGGAGAGGGCTGTACAGCCTAACCTTCAAGTGTCACAGCGCTGCCCTGGCCTTTTCTCCTTTGCTTTGTTTCAGCACTACTTTTCATGGCCACGTGGGGTATATGTGGTGAATAGGTGCATAGGCTGATCACTTTTTTCTGTTGAGGTTTTTTTTTTTTTTTCTAAGTGCAGTTCTTCCTTTTGTAAAGGTGACGGCCTGCCATGTGGAACAAAAACATGAGTGTGCTGATAACGTGCCTTATCAGTAACAGAAATGTATTTGCTTTCAGTCTTGGCTTAACTGTCTCTTTGCTTATCATTTATCTGATATGGTTCTCTTTCAGAAACTTTTATGGAATGGAAAAAAAGGGAAAACTCCTCTAAGTTTGGTTAATAACCATGTGGTTTTTAAAATGTAGTTACCATATGTGCTTTAATTTTGACCAGTATAGTTTTCACCTTGATGGAAGGTCAGTCTCACATGGCCATATACAGATAGACAGAGAGACCTTCAAGGCCCTATAGCCTTGTCTTATTTAAATAAACAGACATAGCATATCCAGAGCAAATAAAAACAAGAGGACATATAGAGACATAGATAAAGAAACACAAATGGCTCAAGAAAGGATTATATTCCAAAGTGCAGTGATCCCTAATGGGGGGACAGAGAGATGAAGACAGTTATCTTAAATGCTTAATACTGTTTCAGAGGAAAGGTGAACATGTTTGCTTTAGCAAACTATTTTTAAAACATGAAGCAAGTCTTAGTCTAACACCTCTTTTCACTTAATCACAAATTCTAATCTTAATTAACTTAGGCTCAATGATTTTTTTTTTTTAGTAATAAAGTATTACTCTTTGATTAAAGGATTCTACAGTCCAGTGATTAAAGCAAATATTTCACAGGAATTCTGTATCTTCTTTTCACTTCTGTAAGACATTAAAATATTAGGGCTTGGAAATAATTCTTGCGTTTACTTGTGATTGTGTTTTAAAGCACAGAACAATGATTTCAAAATACCTTTTTCTTTGTGTCACATTTCATTTTTACTTGCTTTCTAATTTATCTTCCAAAAGCTATTTACAATGTCCCCTACTTAATCACTGGGGTAAATGTTGTGTGAGCTCCTTGCCAGAAATAAGTGTGTGCCAGAAACTTAAAATATATAAGCTTTATATGTTTGGCTAATGGTCTCCCGTCTAAGAGCAGTGCTCTTCAATTTCATAAAGACATTATTAGACACCTTTTAGGCAATAGAAGCTATAGGAGAAAGGTGGAATTAGTTAGAATCCTTATTTTCAAGCTTTTATTTGAACCATTTTAAAAAAGTGTTAATGCCTTTAGCTGGGCCATCATGCTTGTTTGCTATAGACCCTACCATTCCCTATTGAGTTTATCTGTTTCATAATTATACATTACCTCCCTGGACATCTGTGTGGGAGATGCAAAGAAGAGAGAGGCGCCCAAACATAAGCACAGGAAATTCTAATCTGACCCAGGAACAAGTCTGTGAGGAATGGCATATTCCTAAGGGATGGTTGCAGGAACCAGTGGTGATGTCCACACAGCCCAGGTCCCTAGCAAGGTGCTGGGAGGACTTGAATATGGACACTAAAGACTTCTTTGCATCCAGATTTTGCTCTGGGCAGGCTCATAAAAACAAACATAAAAAGCTCAGGTGGTACCTTTCCATAAACTTGTTTGTATTTGTTTGCTCTTACCAGGTGAACACACAGGATTTCAGAGGGCTGGTTCGGGAAGATGCTGTTCTCTACCTGTTAGAAATCCCCAAAGGTGAAATGGTGACCATATTAGCTCAGAGCCGAGCTGATGGTGAGTGTTTGGTCGTGGGTGGGGAGGATGGTAGAGGTATTTGGGACCAGAATAGGCAAATCTGGGTATCATGAGTATGTGGAGAAAATTTGGTTACCATTTAACTTTCTATAGAAATTTTTCTGTATACCCACAGAAATAATTTCAGTCAAATCAAGTTGGAATAAAACTATTTTTTTCTGAATAGTGATCTATCCTTAAGTTCTGACTGGAGTTATTACTGAGTTTTCTGCCTGACAAATGAAAAGGGCCGTGCAGGCTGATCAGCTCCCACATTCATGCTTACCAGTCTGACAAGTTGCTTCACCTTTCCAGTCCTCCATTCTCCTCTGTAAAATGGGAGTTGATAGCATCTCCCCTGTCTGCTTCAGAGAGTTAATTGGCAACTCTATTAATAGTCAGGGTTCTCCAAAGAAATAGCACCAATAGGGTGTGTGTGTGTGTGTGTGTGTGTGTGTGTGTGTGTGTGTGTGTATGTATGTATGTATGTATGGGGAGGTGGCCAGGCAGAGTAATATTTATTATAAGAAATTGGCTCACCCAATTAAGGCAAGTCACAAGATCTGCAGGGTGAGTTGACAGAGACCCAGTAGAGCCCATGATTGAGTTCTTGTCCAAGTCCAGAGGCCTGAGAACCAGGAGAGCCAATGGTGTAGTTGCTGGCAGGCTCAAGACCCAGAAAAAGCTGATGTTTCTATTTAAGTGTAAAGTCAGCCAAAATGTTGACATCCCAGTTTATAAATCAGAAGAGTTAGTTTTCCCTTACTTGGGGGAGGATTCATTGTTTTGTTCTAGCCAAGCCTTCAACTGATTGGATGAGGCCCACCCACAATCTGCTTCACTCAGTTTATGGATTTATATGATACTCTTATCCAGGAACAGCCTCCCTTACACACCCAGAATAAGATTTGGCCAAATACCTAGGAACCCTGTGGCCCAGTCAAGTTGATACACAAAACTAACTAGCTCAGTTTTTTGTCCTTTTTTCCTGTTTGAGCCATGAGACCTGTACATGCACTGAACTTGGTAAATGAAGACAAGGTAAAGAGGGTAATCAGAGAGAGGAGAAGCTGATAACTCTTCAAGAAAAGATCTTGAGCTGCGCAGGGTCAATATATGGCAATGCTTTTGTCTTTCAGTGTACAGAGACATACTGGCTTGTGGCAGAGGGGATTCATTTTTTATAAGAAGCCACTTTGAATGTGAGAAGGAAACTCCGCAGAGCCTGGCCTTCACCAGGGGGGAGGTCTTCCGAGTGGTAGATACACTGTATGATGGCAAGCTGGGCCACTGGTTGGCTGTGAGGATCGGCAATGAATTGGAGAAAGGTTTAATCCCCAACAAAAGCAGGTATCTGAGATCAGGTGTTCTCACACACCCCTTTTAAGCCTTCTGCCCACAAATAAGCCACAGCCTTCCCTTCCTCAAAAAAGAAGCCCCACATGACCTCATTATTTGTTCCCACGTCCTCTCTCATCATCTATTTCTTATTTATGAGTTGTGGCCTGAAACTGAAATGGCCATCAGCTTGTTTGCTGTGTTTAGCATCGTGTGCTTCATTGGTACACTGGCTGGCATTTGAATGATTTCCTAGGGGTGGCACACAAGCAGATGAACTGAGTGGCCCTAGCACACCAGCTCCCCCCTCGGAGGCAAGTGCCCTTGTCCAGTGCCTAACCCTCATCCTCCACAGAGGTTTAAGCACCCCAGTGAATGCTAAAGTGGTTGGCTGACAGTGGGGAGAACAGGAAAGCTGCCTATACTTTGGCAGAGGGTTCATGTGTGTTTACTGCAAACCAGCTTACAGGAACAAGCCATGTATAGCACGTTTATTACTGAGCTACTTCTGATGGATTTTATGCGGAGCAGCCTTTCTCTGCCTCCATTGAGCTGCGAAGATCCCCATGTTTCCCACTTGTAAAACCTCTTCATTATAAAGCTGCATCGTCTCTAATCCAAATTCATGAGTAATGTTCACTAGACTTGGTTAATGACATGCACATTCGCATATTTCCTGGCTTTTGAGTTTACTTCTGTGGTGTCTTCTCTCAGAGCTGAACAAATGGCCAGTGTTCAGAATGCCCAGAGAGACAACGCTGGGGACAGGGCAGATTTCTGGAGAATGCGTGGCCAGAGATCCGGCATGAAGAAGAACTTAAGGAAGAGTCGGGAAGACTTAACTGCCGCCGTGTCAGTTAGCACCAAGTTCCCAGCTTATGAGAGGGTTTTATTGCGAGAAGGTGAGAAAGCCCAGTAGAGTCAGGAAATGGTCCAAGTAGGCTTTGAGGCTTTTTTCCTTCATTTTCAGACTGTAAAGGTCAGGTTCAAACTTCTCTATATCACTTAGACCAAAGATAGGTTTTAGGGTTGGTGTCACATTCCAACACGAAAGACGACTTACAAGAAAGTGAACTGTGCCAGCTGCTCAGTGGAGGAGCATTTCCACAACCTCCATTATTTTTTTAATGCTACCATTCAAAAGTTTTTAAATATTACACATAAAAGCTAAGTTTATATTTGACAATAATCAGGGGAGTGAAGGTGCATTCTTTAGGAAAGAACTAGCCTGAATGGGGGTGGAGGAATACACAATTACTTTCATTTAGTCATATAATCAATAGGCTATAAAATACTTTTGCTTCTTAACAGCTAAAGAAGTATATATGTTTTCATGGCCTTTTCTTTCTCATTTCAGCTGGTTTCAAGAGACCTATAGTCTTATTTGGTCCCATAGCAGATATAGCACTGGAAAAGTTGGCAAATGAGTTACCTGACCTTTTCCAAACTGCTAGTAAGTCTGTCTGTGATATTTTTATTTTGAAAAATATGTAACATGCAGAAAAATTGAAGAAGTAATGAGTACCCACACACCTTTACCTGGAATTGCCATCACCAATTAACATTTTGCCATATGGACTCTCCCATGCCCGCATAGACACACACACACTGAACACGTTCTAAAATTTCTGCTGAACCTTTGGAAAGTTTAAGTTGCAGATATGATAGCACTTCTACCCTGGATCTTCTAAGAACATGGACATACATACTCCTCCTACACAACCACACTACCATTATCAAAAATGGAGAAAGTTAACACCAGTACAATGATTTTGTACAACACAAATATATTGTACAAAACTACTACAATATATTTAGTATATAACCCAGTTTTCAAATTCCCTCAGTGTCCTTATTTTGTTTTTCAACCCAGAATAAGATTTGGCCAAATACCTAGGAACCCTGTGGCCCAGTCAAGTTGATACACAAAACTAACTAGCTCAGTTTTTTGTCCTTTTTTCCTGTTTGAGCCATGAGACCTGTACATGCACTGAACTTGGTAAATGAAGACAAGGTAAAGAGGGTAATCAGAGAGAGGAGAAGCTGATAACTCTTCAAGAAAAGATCTTGAGCTGCGCAGGGTCAACATATGGCAATGCTTTTGTCTTTCAGTGTACAGAGACATACTGGCTTGTGGCAGAGGGGATTCATTTTTTATAAGAAGCCACTTTGAATGTGAGAAGGAAACTCCGCAGAGCCTGGCCTTCACCAGGGGGGAGGTCTTCCGAGTGGTAGATACACTGTATGATGGCAAGCTGGGCCACTGGTTGGCTGTGAGGATCGGCAATGAATTGGAGAAAGGTTTAATCCCCAACAAAAGCAGGTATCTGAGATCAGGTGTTCTCACACACCCCTTTTAAGCCTTCTGCCCACAAATAAGCCACAGCCTTCCCTTCCTCAAAAAAGAAGCCCCACATGACCTCATTATTTGTTCCCACGTCCTCTCTCATCATCTATTTCTTATTTATGAGTTGTGGCCTGAAACTGAAATGGCCATCAGCTTGTTTGCTGTGTTTAGCATCGTGTGCTTCATTGGTACACTGGCTGGCATTTGAATGATTTCCTAGGGGTGGCACACAAGCAGATGAACTGAGTGGCCCTAGCACACCAGCTCCCCCCTCGGAGGCAAGTGCCCTTGTCCAGTGCCTAACCCTCATCCTCCACAGAGGTTTAAGCACCCCAGTGAATGCTAAAGTGGTTGGCTGACAGTGGGGAGAACAGGAAAGCTGCCTATACTTTGGCAGAGGGTTCATGTGTGTTTACTGCAAACCAGCTTACAGGAACAAGCCATGTATAGCACGTTTATTACTGAGCTACTTCTGATGGATTTTATGCGGAGCAGCCTTTCTCTGCCTCCATTGAGCGGCGAAGATCCCCATGTTTCCCACTTGTAAAACCTCTTCATTATAAAGCTGCATCGTCTCTAATCCAAATTCATGAGTAATGTTCACTAGACTTGGTTAATGACATGCACATTCGCATATTTCCTGGCTTTTGAGTTTACTTCTGTGGTTTCTTCTCTCAGAGCTGAACAAATGGCTAGTGTTCAGAATGCCCAGAGAGACAACGCTGGGGACAGGGCAGATTTCTGGAGAATGCGTGGCCAGAGATCCGGCATGAAGAAGAACTTAAGGAAGAGTCGGGAAGACTTAACTGCCGCCGTGTCAGTTAGCACCAAGTTCCCAGCTTATGAGAGGGTTTTATTGCGAGAAGGTGAGAAAGCCCAGTAGAGTCAGGAAATGGTCCAAGTAGGCTTTGAGGCTTTTTTCCTTCATTTTCAGACTGTAAAGGTCAGGTTCAAACTTCTCTATATCACTTAGACCAAAGATAGGTTTTAGGGTTGGTGTCACATTCCAACACGAAAGACGACTTACAAGAAAGTGAACTGTGCCAGCTGCTCAGTGGAGGAGCATTTCCACAACCTCCATTATTTTTTTAATGCTACCATTCAAAAGTTTTTAAATATTACACATAAAAGCTAAGTTTATATTTGACAATAATCAGGGGAGTGAAGGTGCATTCTTTAGGAAAGAACTAGCCTGAATGGGGGTGGAGGAATACACAATTACTTTCATTTAGTCATATAATCAATAGGCTATAAAATACTTTTGCTTCTTAACAGCTAAAGAAGTATATATGTTTTCATGGCCTTTTCTTTCTCATTTCAGCTGGTTTCAAGAGACCTATAGTCTTATTTGGTCCCATAGCAGATATAGCACTGGAAAAGTTGGCAAATGAGTTACCTGACCTTTTCCAAACTGCTAGTAAGTCTGTCTGTGATATTTTTATTTTGAAAAATATGTAACATGCAGAAAAATTGAAGAAGTAATGAGTACCCACACACCTTTACCTGGAATTGCCATCACCAATTAACATTTTGCCATATGGACTCTCCCATGCCCGCATAGACACACACACACACTGAACACGTTCTAAAATTTCTGCTGAACCTTTGGAAAGTTTAAGTTGCAGATATGATAGCACTTCTACCCTGGATCTTCTAAGAACATGGACATACATACTCCTCCTACACAACCACACTACCATTATCAAAAATGGAGAAAGTTAACACCAGTACAATGATTTTGTACAACACAAATATATTGTACAAAACTACTACAATATATTTAGTATATAACCCAGTTTTCAAATTCCCTCAGTGTCCTTATTTTGTTTTTCATAGCTTTTTTAAAAAATTCAGAATGCAACTAAGGGTCATACAATACATTTGATTTTTATGTCTTTCTAGTCTCCTCCTTTTCCTAAGTTATTTTGTGACATTGGTATTTTGAGAGTCCAAGCCCCTTGTCTCACCTGTGGGACTGCCTGTTTTCCTTAGGATTTGATTTCAGTTAACAGACAGTGTGGGTCCTTCCCACTGCTGCTCATTAGGTGACACCTTTTGTCAGATGTCCCATCATTACTGATGCTAATAGGTTGGAGTGTTTGGTTGTCACCGACTTGAAAAAATTATCCCCTTGTTTTTGCTTTTGCAGAAACAGAACCAAAAGATGCAGGATCTGAGAAATCCAGTGGAGTGGTACGGTTAAATACTGTGAGGCAAATTATTGAGCAGGTGAGAGAATTCCCCCAAAGCCCATATTATCAGAACTGAGTCATGGTTTGCTGCTATGATTTTTAGAATAAAATCTGTATTTTAGCAATCATTAAATGTTCATAATAAAAAATGAATATAAATGCAAGCTGATAGATTGTGTGGAGTTCTGTGGCAATTACGTGTTGGTGTTTTTTTTAGAGTTCTCAGCATTATACCAAATAACCTGTTCATTCATTTTTCTCAGGAATTCTAATAGATTGGTTAATATTAAAGTGAATATAATGTAGAGGGAAACATTTTCTGCTTCCTTATTTAAGTTGATAAGTTTTATCTGGTACAGCCTTTACTTATTAAGACAAACTCTTTCGTACGACAGGACCTTATATATCCATTTACATAGCCTTTTCCCATTTCTAACAGGATAAACATGCACTGTTGGATGTGACTCCCAAAGCTGTGGACTTGTTGAATTATACTCAGTGGTTCCCGATTGTGATTTTTTTCAACCCAGACTCTAGACAAGGTGTCAAAACCATGAGACAGAGGTTGAATCCAACATCTAACAAAAGTTCTCGAAAGCTATATGATCAAGCCAACAAACTGAAAAAAAGTTGTGCACATCTTTTTACAGGTAAGTGAAATTTAAAATGTAGTCTCTGCTCCAAAGTAAGAAATAGAGAATTGAAGAATGGAAAAAATAAGAAAATAACCTGAATGATGAATAGTAATCTGAAAACCTACTTATAACTCCTAGAAAAGTAGCTTATCCTGTAAAATGAACATATTAGACTCATGGTGTTTGTATATTAATTTTTACTGTTTGGAAATGATCATAAAGATCCATGACATATAATAATTGGTTGTTTTAGTGAGGTTCAAAGTTGTGTGTGGGACTGCAAGGTTAGTGATTGAGTCTAGCATACCACCTAGCACTCACATTTCTATATAAATTGTGTCATTATTCGCTACTCACCATCCACACATCACTGACTGACAGAGTGATAGGAACTTGGTTTCATTATTTAAAAATGTCACCAAAATAAAACTTGAACACTGAATATTCGATGATACTAAGCATTTATTCCTGTTTTTCGGGTGACAGTGATGTTGTGATTATGCTTTTTTTAAAAAGAGTTCTTTCAGAAATGTATACTAAATGAAATAATCATGGACAACCTATACTTAAATGGAAGACCTAGTATGTGTGGGATTTGCTTAAATAATCTTCAGTGAGGAGAGTAGGTAGGGCAATAGGTAAGATTAGCTAAGAGTTGATAGTTGTTGAAGCTGGGTGATGCATACATGAGGGTTCATTAAATTTTTCTCTCTACTTTAATATATGTTTAATTTTTTTCATAATACAGTCTTTTTTGAAGGTCCTAAAAGGAAGACCTATTGGTACTTTACTTATTAAAGTAAAATAATCTAAGAATGTGACATGTTTTAGTAACTGAATATATGTAATACCTATATAAGTGACTATGAATATGGAGTAATTAAGGGTTTCAAGGGTTACATGTGGTTTTAGTCATGCAGTTTTATGGGAACAACATGAGGAGACTATGGTTATGATATCCTTAGGATAATGATAGCTCTTTTTGAGTTCAGTGCCAGTTCATTGTCAAACTGTCATTTTTAGCATATCTGACACTGGGAAGGAAGTGGGGTAAGTGAGTATGTGTCCATGTTAGACTCCTGTTTACTGTCACTGGCTTTCCTTGTTAAAGAGTGAGATATACTAACTACTATGGCAAAATGCTGTAGTCAAATGCAAAGGAGGGAGAGGTCTATCATAAACTGGATTTTTGGGATTGTAGAGTCTTAAGAGCTTGTGCTTTTGATAATTATACATGATCTTCCCCCTGTTATTTTTACCACTACTACTATTAATACTTATTATCATTATTTTTATTATAGCAGTAGCTAACAGTGGCACAGCCTTCCGCGTGTGCTGTCTTATTGGGCCATAAGAAAGGCCAAGCAACTTCTGTAAGGTCACATGTGGCTAAGCCCAGATTAAACTGTAGTGTCTGACTGTGTCCAATATCTATAGATGTCATAGCACAGACATAATTTTCTACTGCTGAAAGGGGTCATAGAGTGCAGTTCCTCCATTTAACAGATAATTTGTCTATTTAACTACAGCCCATGTGATTGTGACTGATATTAAACCTACCTTGGCTTCAATTTCCCCCCTGCCTTTGCTTAAGTCTATTAAATAGCCAGGAGCCTCCCTCAAAGAGTTGAATTTGGGTTTAATCTGAGGGTATAAATACAAAGAAAGGAAATGACAAGTTGTAGAAGGAGAACCAGGCTGACAGAGGCAGGACGAAGGAGAGGACAGGGCAGAAGAAGGCAGTCAGGGACCCTGGGGCAGTGCCTTCATCTGGTGTTCAGTTAGCATCATTGCTCTTTGAAGCACAGGCTGCAGTAGCTGGCTGACTCATGGATCTGGAGGAGCTCACATGCGTAGAAGGGTTTAACTCCTTGTTCAGCTCCACCAATAGATTATGAGATCCTTGAAAGCCAGGACTGTACATTATCCAAAACTCAAAGTCCTCCTCAGTTAAGTGGAGCTAATGAAGATTTATTCTGGGATTTGCCCAAAAGCAAATTGACTTGTCAGTGGAAGTTAAAATCAATTGGCCACCCTTCCTTACCAACATATAAACAAACTGAATATAGAATACATTTGTATGGCAAAAGTTATCTTTTAAAAAATGAACTTTGAATTCCATGTTTTCTTGGAATTCCTGATGTGTTCCGCTCATGGTTTGAAGACCAGTGAAATGGAATTGTGGACTTAGAAGCGCAAGTGGGGTCACCCTTTATATGAAATTGCACAGTCTTTAAACTACTATGGGATATACTAGTGCTTTTATCAGCTTTCCCAGTTTTCATTAATGTGAAATCTGTAAAATTCAGCCATTACACTTTCTTTGGAAGTGCTGAACAAATGTTACTGGTTATTATTAGTGGTGTTACTTTATACTTACTATCTTTTGGTGTTACATATTGTAAAAAAAATAATTCGGTGTCACTATATAGTATTTGAAATGGCTTGGGGGAAAAGGTGAATCTTGAACCAGCTGAAGGAACCCAAACTGAGGGAGGCATTTTTGGTTCCCAAGGGAGTCAGAGAGTCTGGTGATCACAGGAAGCAGATGGAAGGTGCTGGACTCCTGCTGGGGACCTTGTTTGACACTTGCTTGTTTAGAGTGGGTCCTTGCCACATGAGGAGCTTTATTGAGATTCAGTGTACATACCCTATAATTCACCCACTTCAGGTATCTAATTCAGTGGTTTTATTATATTCAGAGCTCAGCTATCACCAATATTAGAACATTTTCATCATCCTGAAGAGCAATCCCATATCCATTAGTAGTTATTCCTGTTTTTTCCTTACCCTTCTAGCCTTACATATCACCTTCTGTTTCTCTTGGCATTTCCCAACCTCGTTGGCTGGAGAGGGAGTGGTGGCCACACTCGTGCTGGGAATGGACTCCCTCTGAGGCCCAGGACTCCCAGCCAAGACGTAGGCTGAGTGAAGAGCCTTTCAATATTTCACTTTCTTGAGATTGAGAGATGTATGAAGCCTGTTCAAGGGGCAGAGGCCTAGTCTGGAGGCTGGGAGCAGCAGGCATTAAATCATCTTGCTTGAAATCAAAGAATCTGAAAAACCAAGTGAGCAAATACTAACAGTAAACCAAAGGTACCTGATTCTAAGTTAAGGGAAGGCGGCAGCATAGTTGTGCCATCCACCTGTTAAAATGAGGATGAGTGCATGAGTTGAATATTACAAGCTTATGTGGAACTTACCTTTATTCGGTGCTTAGAAAATTAACTACTGTGAAGTTCCTTTTTCTCCCTCACATACTTGATTCATTGTGAATTCAGTAAGAGTTTTATGGCTTTTTTCATTTTATCAGAGGGCATGAACATATTTTCTACATTTCATAAATGGCCGTTTTAACTTTAGGTTTTCCTCCTGATAAATATAGACTGTACTCATCTCAGACAACTCTAACACAAAGTTCAAAAAGGCAGCTTTACATTCTTTATACATTTAATGCAAATCACTCATTTTGTCTCTAGGATATACAGTCTCACTTCTATGTTTAAGTACTATGGCATTACATTTTACCCAAGAACACAATAATTGCAAAGTACCACACTAAGGATAAAGAAGCCCAAGGAATCAAGGTTAATTTTATCTGAGTGGTCCAACATATCAGTTTATTCTAATGCTATAAATAATTAATAACCAAGGAAATTGTAACCTCATTCAGGATTTTCCAAGGTCAGGGTTAGAACTTCTTAAATGAATCAATGATGTATGTTACTAGGAAGAAAACTAATAAAAAGCTGTGACATTGCAGTTTATTATTATTTTTTAATCTGATCAGACTTACAGTCTGATCATTGTAGGCCTGATTTAATGTGTTATTCTGGACCAGTTTGCTTGTCACATATATACACGAGGTCCATAAATACATACTGCTAAAGAATTTTTGCATATATTTTATTTGGTTGGTATTTTATGTCTGTGCTTAAAATTCATGTTTTCAGATGGGCCGTGTTGTGTGTGGCTAAGACCATAGGCTCTGAAAGCAAACTTCTGAGTTTGCAGCCAGGCTTCTTCACTTGTTTGGTGTGAGGCCTTGGGTTAGTTACTTTGATTCCAGAAACTGGAATCAGTTTTTCATCCATAAAATGGCGATGATAGCAATACCTACCTTGCAAGGTTGGTGTAAGCAAGCAATGAGCTGATCCATGTAAAGTATTGGGAGGGCTTGGTTGATCCACATTAAGTGCTGTTGTGTGAGCTTTATTTGGTTTAAATAGAAAATGTATATTCCTGAACACACACATATAGTTTGGTTAATCTGTGATTTCTAAGTTGAAGTCTATCAAAATGGTATGCATTTAAATGTTACCCTTAGTGTTTTATTGGAGAGATCTAATAGTAAGTAGATACCTCTCTTATTTGTAATGTACATGTCTATGTAGTGAGCTTTAAAATAACAGTGCTTTTGTATTTGTTTTAGATGTGTTATCTTTGTTCCTGAAAACAAAATGTTTTTTAAAAGTGGCTTTTCTGAAAACTAGACAATTCAGTTTTAGCTTTATAACATCCATCTGTAATGTAAATTCCAACAGCAAGCATGGGAAATAGATTCAACGGAAGGGATTTAGTGTTAAAATATATGCCTACTTTCTCTCTTGCATTTTCGTTTAATTCAAATATGACAAAAAATGAGTATAAATTAAGTCAAGTAGCATTTTTAATAAACATTGTTCTGGAAATTGATGCAAATCTTTTTACATTTCTGTAGCTACAATCAATCTAAATTCAGCCATTGATAGTTGGTTTGGCAACTTGAAGGACACAATTCAGCATCAGCAAGGAGAAGCAGTTTGGGTCTCCGAAGGAAAGGTATGTGGCATAGATACTACCAGGTGCGCGTCCATGTTCTGAAACTTTCCTTAAGAGGGTAGTGAATGCAGGAAAACCATGACCATTTGAAGTGATTCCAACACATGCACTAATCCAGTATGAACTTACAAATTCTCTAAAAAAGCAATAAAATGAAGGGGCTTTTTAAAGACAAGCAGAATGTGATGTATGTGACCCTACATTCACTTCCCTTTTACTTTTATGTAGTAACTAGTGTTGAATTCCAAGCACACTAATCAGAGCTTACAAGACCTCATGCTGAGCTCCACAGCTTTCTGAGGATGTGGGAAACTCAGTGTGGAGGGAAGGGGTGAGGTTGACGGAGAACATGGTTAAAAATTAATAGAGAGAAGAAAAGCAAGTAGAGTTGGAATCATTTGTTGGAAAAAAGGTTGGTGGAGAATGTGTCCGAGGAGTTTGAGTAGGTGAAAATTGCATAGGCTTCTAAAATTGGCTGCTTCTCATCTGTGGAGGTAGTTTATACACAGCTGGGAGGAAGCAGAGAGGAACCAACATCTGTGGCTCTGGGAGACTTTGGTGCTAATATTCTGTACAGTCCAGAAGAAATGAGGTGAGATGTTAGAGGTATGATTTTGTTGTGCAAGTGACTCAATTACCAGTTAGATTGTTGAGTCCTCATCTTGCCGTTTGGGGACTGAAGGTATCTGGCATCTGCTGAGCGCTTACAGCCAGCTAAGGCTCTGTGCTAGCCTCTGTGGTGAGAACAAGTGGGACAGGACATAGCTTCTCTCAAGGAATTGAGACTCTGTGGATGAGCGGAGAGGTGTGTGGCACAAGGCAGTGTTGCATTTATTATTAGGAGACAGCAGCAGAAAAGCTGGAAAGAAGCCAGATTCTGGAAGAAAAGCACAACAGTCTTTGAAAGCATGGATCATGGAAGCATAGTACCATGTAGGATGATGTAGCCATGGTAGGTAGGGTGGAGGACTCCTAATTTGAGTCCCTGCACAATAGTGAACATAGTAGTTCAAAGTGATTTCAGGAAAATAAAGATGATTTCCTTTCCTAGAATATGTCAAGGTTTCAATCATGTGGCTATGCCCTTGGGAATTTTTCTTGAGTCCCCACTCCCAGGAGCTGTGTCAGACCCCACTGACCCTCCGAAACAAATTCCTCTAGATGGAAGGGTTGGATGATGACCCTGAAGACCGCATGTCCTACTTAACTGCCATGGGCGCAGACTATCTGAGTTGCGACAGCCGCCTCATCAGTGACTTTGAAGACACGGATGGTGAAGGAGGCGCCTACACTGACAATGAGCTGGATGAGCCAGCTGAGGAACCGCTGGTGTCTTCCATCACCCGCTCCTCGGAGCCGGTGCAGCATGAGGAGGTGAGGCGAGGCAGGCCGCAGGCTGCGAGGCCATGGGCAGGAAAAGGAGTTTCTGGTGTTTCACAGCTGTTTATTCAGGGTGCTATGAAAGGTCTGCCTAAGGGTTGGAACAGATGATGACATCTAGGGAGGCGCTCATTCCAAGTCAATACCAGTACTCTGATTGCAGTTGTGGTCCATGGGAAAGCAGGACAGGATCCAGGCTCTGTGAGGCTGAGCGGTCAGTGCACATTACACTGATGCCCCAGGCATGCTGCCCGAACTGAACAGCTTTATGTGCCAGCTGTCCAAATTTCAAGTGGAATAATATTTTTCTTAAATGCAATATGATCATATTTACTTGTAACCTTTGATTAGGTCTCTAATATTCTTAGGTGTCTTTGCTTTTCTTTTCCATCCTAACTCTAACCTTTCTAATCTTGCCAAGCTCCTGAGTATTTCCCCATCAGTTTCCTTCTCTCCTGTATATCAATTTTTTAATTGAGTTCATGAGCACACAAACCTCTTATCATGTATACTGTGCATCCACTGGCCGGTAAATAGTTTCTATGATCCTAGAAGTCACATCAACAGGCAGTAAGTGTGAGGATTGATTATTAGTTGCACCACAGGAAACACTGGGATAATGATCTTTGAAGATGAGATTATCCATATATTTGAATAATTACTACTGTGGACTTCCATTCAGCAATTCAGCTCATTTCAATGAATTACTATATTTTTTATGAAATAGAAGTACCAAAAAAATAAGTTGAAGAGAAGAGAAAACCTACCATGACAAAAAAATTAGTGTATGCCACTGGACAAACTGTAAAAAGTAAGTTAATTCCCGAATGTTTACAGATATAAATGAGATAAGGCTTAATGATGTTAACAGCTGTAAGTGACAAAAGAGATTTTAGAATTTAGGAGGACTCTTTTTGTGTGTACTTTAAAGGAACTAACTACTACAATAGATGCAACTAAATTTTAAAAAATGTATCTTCTCACGCAAGTTATGAACTTTTATGCAGTTATGAACCTCAACTTCTAAGCTTAAAATGTCACGTTTGCAGAACATCCAGCAAAGCAGACAAGGGCTCTCTTCTCTTGCTGGGATGTTCTTGTTGCAAATGAATCTTTATGTCTTGTAGAGCATAAGGAAACCCAGCCCAGAGCCACGAGCTCAGCTGAGGAGGGCTACTAGCAGAGATCAACTTAGGGACAATAGCCCACCCCCTGCATTCAAGCCAGAGCCGCCCAAGGTATGTGGCTGGGAAGCCCAGGATGGAAAGGAAGAGGCTGCAGACACCCCTGGAGCTCCTGGCATAGCCAGGGAAAAGCATGCACAAGAAGATGGGTTGAATTGTTCTGACTTGCTGTTTCCCTATGAGAACCTGTCTTTTGCCTGTTGAGTGGACCCCAAAATTAGGGAAGGGCAAACAGGAGGGAAAGGCATACAATTTTAGGACTGTTAGCATTCTTTAAATTAATTTTTATAAAAAGAATAAAGTATGACAAATACTGTATGGCCAGAATCACCAATCTCAGATTCTGTTTTTCCTTTATTTTGTCCAGTTAGAGTTTTCCACTCACAATCTGATTTAGATGCCCCAGAAAATCTTACCTGATCATTTGCTAAAGAAAACATTCACTACCATTGTTTACTGTGCCTCTCATTATGCGGGCAGCTTAATTTATTTTTGAAATAAATTGTTACCCAGAGCAGAATTGATAAAAGAACAACACATGGCTTATGTTGTTTGATTCTTTACCCCCCTCTTTAAATCAAAGCTATGACTTGTAGGCTTTTCCTTATAACCCAATAAAACTTCTCTATTTAACTCAGTACTTTAGATGAGAAGAAAGTGGTAGCTATGTGAGCTGTCAGAAGTAATGACATCATAAAATACATCAATGAAAATGTACAAGCAGGCCTAGGATGGAAGTATAGAGGAAAAGTGGTCATTAGTGTGATAATGCTGTCCTCCCCACCAAAGTCTCATTCATGGCTGGACATGGGCCTCACCCACCACATGCTGTATGGCCAGGGCATGTACCCTAAGCATGCATGAACTCAGGAGCCTCCTCTTAGTCCTGAGGATCCTGACTTGTTCTGAGGTTCTCCTCTAGTACAAAATTAAGTCTGATCTACCTCTGGCCCATGCAGGCTCCAGCACCCTCATGGTTTCCCAGAGCCCTTAACACTCTTCTTAGGAAGTGAGGTAGGGCTTAGGGTACTCTACCCATAGCTGTGTGTCTTGCCTCATTTGATTCCTTGCCAGAATGGCATTGGTTGACCACCTTTGGAAACTGATCAGGAAATGGGAGTGTATTAAATCACTAATATAGATCTGAAAATTAACTGAAGGCCTAAGGTAAAAATATGTCATTGTTTTCTACAGGCAAAAACCCAGAATAGAGAGGAATCCTTTGAGTTCTCCAGATCCTACGAATACAAGTCAAACCCTTCAGCTGTTGCTGGTAATGAAAATCTCGGGGCATCTGCCAAAGGTTGTCCTCCTCCTGTTGCAGTAAAACCTACCTTTGGACGGTCTATACTGAAGCCCTCCACTCCTGTCCCTCCCCCGGAGAGTGAGGAGGTGGGAGAGGTGAGTGAGGAGCAAAATAACAGTCCCAAGTCTGTCCTGGGAAAAGTGAAAATATTTGAGAAGATGGATCATAAGGCAAGATTACAGAGAATGCAAGAGCTCCAAGAAGCACAGAATGCAAGGGTAATTGTCTTTAAACTGCTAAGCTATCTTATCATGTCAGCAATAAGAATTTTCAGTAACTTTGATTTCAGTATAATGATTTACAGTGCTTTTTCCATTTTCAGTCATGAAAGGGATGTTCACATGCATAGTAGCAAAGGCACATCCTGTGTATGTGTTATTTCCAGGTTGCCAGCTGTGACTACATCCCTTTTTCTTCCAGTCCAGAAAGTCTAACACTATAGGTGAATAAGATTCTGCTCTTCATACTTCAGAACTGTTGTCAGGTTTTGGAAAGGGGAAGGGCAACAAGCCAATCAGTGCATCTTAGAAATTGGTTTG